TCTTTCTCACTTTCTTTTCTCTTTTTCTCTCACTTTCTTCCTCTTTTTCTCGTTCTCTCTTTCTTTTTCTTTCTTTTTCTCTTTTCTCTTTCCTCTCTTTTTCTTTCTCTTTCTGTCACTCTCTCTCTCTCTCCTTTTCTTTCTTCAACTTTGACTTTATTATTACACAAACACACACGTTCACCCATGGGCATCCCTGCCTATCATTCTGTAGCCTGGCCAGACTGAGGAAATACAACTGCCATGTATCTCGATGGCCATTCTGTGCACACTTCAGCTTGATAGCCAGTTACTGTTTAAAACACCCTGTTGAGAACCAGGGCAAACGTGCGTGAACCTGCATTTTTTAAAACGGTGCACATGCAAAACTATTCCCTCTCCAACCCCAAACCCGGTGCCGCTTCTACCAGTCCGCTGAGCTGAAAAGGTTGGAGACCACAAGTTTAAAATCTATCCAACAATAGGATGTTTATGAATATTATACAGGGGTCGGATTCTACCAGTTTGCACCTGTTCGCTGGAACCGGTTGTTAACATTCTAAGCAGTTCAGAGAACCGGTTGTTAGAAGAAATTACTGGTCTAATCCTGTAAGGAAGGCAGGAAGGAAACATTCTGGGGTTGCTTACAGAAACTGCCTCTCCGTTCACCCTTATTACATTCTTGGCAGGACTCGACTTCCTGTCTCTGGAATGTCTCTGGAGTTTTCTTCCTCCTTTGCTGGTACTTTGCTTGTGTGGAGTGACCATTCAAAGTGACAATGGCACTGAAAAAAAGTGACTTATGACCATTTTTCACACTTACGACTGTAGCAGCATCCCCACAGTCATGAGAGGCCAGGCGAGGAGATGCGTGCCTCGATGTGAGTGATATTGAGTTGACCACACCCAGCCAATAACATGACCACCAAGCCACGTCCACCCAGTCACATGACCAAGCCACACCCACCTAAGCCACGCCCACATTACCAGTTGTTAAAAATTTGAATCCCACCCCTGATATTATCTACCCAGAGTCTTTGGGAAGGGACAAGATACACATTAAATAAACAAAAATGCAACCCAACAACAGAGTGGTGGCAACCTCTTCTTCTGCAGAACGTTTATTGCACTTATCATCCAACTGGCTTCCCCTCCTGGCCGATTCTCATTCATTTTCAAAGTTATCTTTCAAGGATAGATTTGCCCAGGAAACTGGACTATGGCAAACCCATAGATAAGCATCATCTTTGCTTCCCAGTGGTACCCTAGGATCAAATTGATTTCCCAGGAGGGATGACATCCTAAGGTGTTGTTTGAAGACTGCCGCCAGCTTAGGAAGAAAGATATGGACAAAATATAGAACAAGAAGATGGAAACTGATCAAGGATAGAAACGATCTGGAACTCAGGAGAAAAATCCTAACAGTGAAGACAATTAAACAGTAGAACAGCTGGCCACCAGAAGTTGTGGCTGCTCCATCACTGGAGGCTTTTAAGAAGAGACTGGACAGTCACTTGTCTGAAATGGTGTAGGGCAGGGGTCCTCAAACTTGGCAACTTTAAGACTCGTGAACATCAACTCCCAGAATTCTTGGAGTTGAAGCCCACGAGTCTTAAAGTTGCCAAGTTTGGAGACCTCTGGAATAGGGTCTCCTGCTTGAGCAGGTGGCTGGACTAGAAGACCTCCAAGGCCCCTTCCAATTCTGTTTTTTTTCTGTGAAGCTGAGTGGGAGGAAGGAGCGTTGGATCAAGGAGTGATCTCAACAAAATGCTTTTGAATAAATGGTTACCTCTGGACTGGATAAATACACGTCCTGGTGTATGTCAAATATAAGAAAGAGCCCATAATTCAAGAGTTTTGAGCTCTTGAAAACTCATTAGAGTCATTGGAGAAGATCCTGAGGCTCAGGCGAGTCCCTAGCTATCAAGAATGACAGCCAAAGATGACTAGTTGGTCAGAGATTATTCATGACACCAGCAGGAGCTGCTTTTAAAAAAAAAAAGGCATTCTTGGCAGGGCATCCTGATTAAATGACATCCATTGGGTAATGAAGACATGGAAGCAACTGAGAGATTGCATATGAAGACAAGCTCTTTCAAGAGTGGACTTTAGCTCCTCAATCTTCTCATGAGCTTCCCTGCCCTTTTCAGGCACGTCCCAGAAAGTTGGGCTCCCTTTTTAGGGAACAAATAAGGGGAAAGGATGCAATAATTGGAGATTGCCACCTTGTTCTCTGAAGTATTTCTGGACAGGCTCTATCAGTCAACTCCTATCACCTACCTTTTGACTCGACCTCGGGAGAGAAGTCAAGACAAATTGAAATGGTTGGATCCTACTCATTGCAAAATTTATGCTCTGGGCAGTTTTAATTCCAACCCTTCCTCTCTGTTTATTCGGTGTAATACAGCGGTGTCCAACCTTGGCATCTTTAAGACTTGTGGACTTTTAACTCCTAGAATTCCCCTGTTAAAAGATGCCAAGTTCGGGCCACGCAGTCTAATAGAAGAAGAGGGAAACCTACAGAGATTGGCTTAGTTTAAGCTGAGTGCACTCTGAAAAGTTGGCAGTTGCAGTTTTGTAAAGCATGATTTATGGTTTAGTAATGTGCTTGCCACCAAGTGTTGCTCAGTCAGCAAGCCATGATTCAATTAAGGACTTTGTACGAGGTAGGAATCAATCCCACCCTTTTCTAGTTCGTACAACTAACACTTAAGCCATAATAAAGCTGTTTTGATCTTGGCTTGACATTCAAGAATCCGGCCACTGCTTTGCAATCCATGGTTTAATCAGGGAGGTGTCTAAATAAGGCCTCTGTGACAAATTCAACAAACCATGCTTCAGAATGGTTTAATTCGAGACATAAACTTGGGCAACGAATTTGCAGAATTGAACTGCTGTTGAACTAAAAGTGCATTTCCAAAAAACTAAGAAGCAAAATGCTTAACAACCACAACAAAAATAAAGTCCAGTTACCTTTAAGAAAAGCACCTTTGGAATAACCATGACCTGGATGATTGATAATCTCCATAGACCTCAAACTACTCTTTCCTACTTCCAGAAGCAAAATGCCTTTTTTGTGTGTGTGTAATGCCTTCAGTCACTGACTCTTACTAGACACTGGTAGCTTCCCGTGTCTTCAAAAGGTCTTTTTCTTAACCCCAAAAGAAGACAAGGTTGAGTAAGGCTGAGTTGAAACACTGCAATAAGATTCCAATTCAAAACACATTTCTGCAAACCATGGTTTGTGAACTCCACTGTTTCAGAGCTGCTGAGGAAAACTGAAACCCTTCCAACCATGTGATGGCTGAAGAGAAACGTGAAGACAGAAGAATCCCAACAGAAAACACACTATCCAAGACCCAGATACTTACCCTCCAGGGCCAGTTGAAACCAGACATCGTGTTGCCTTTCTCACACGCACTTTCTGCATGCACACTTAACACGAGCAAAGACTTTACTGACCCTTCAGGCTCAGCTGGGGCAGGCCTTTATCTGCAGGTGCCGGCTGTGGAAGATGGGAGGAGTCCCATTCTGGGCTCTGGAGATTAGAGAAGATCAGCAGTTCCAACTCAAGGAAGGTCTCCCACTGCTCAAATGCTGGCCAGGAGCAGCCTTCCCTAAATTGGAACATCCATTTCTTCTCCAAACATACCCATCGTCCCCTGCAAGCATGGGTTGGAATTAACTGGGGAGAGGGGGTAGTGAACCCAGCCTGTTTTATCATTTTATGGTTGGGTTTATTGTGTAGGCCAAGAGAAAGATCAATTCAGCTTTAAAATGTTGGATGAAATCAGACTGATTCTTCACCCTTGGCAACTTTAAGATGTGTGGGCTTCAACTCCCAGAATTCCCCAGCCAGCTTTCTGGAGTTTGAAGTCCACACATCTTAAAAGTTGTTGATAGATGAGAGAGGGAGAGGAAGAGGGAGAGGGAAGGAGAGGTAGAGGAAGAGGGAGAGGGAGAGGGGGAGGGGGGGAGGGAGGGGGGGGGAGAGAGAGAGAGAAAGAGAGATGGAAGATATTGGATGCATGCATGCATGCATGGACAAATGGACAGACAGACAGACAAGATATAGACAGATAGATGGATGGATGGGTGGGTGGGGGTGGGGGGTGGAGTTGGATGGCTAGATAGAGAGAGAGAGATGATAGATAGATAGATAGATAGATAGATAGATAGATAGATAGACAGACAGATAGATGATAGATAGATAGATAGATAGATAGATAGATAGATAGATAGATAGATAGATAGAAAATAGGTGGTGGGTGGGTGGGTGGATGCATGGATGGATGGCTACATAGATGGGTGGATGGATGGATGGATGGATAGATAGATAGATAGATAGATAGATAGATAGATAGATAGATAGATAAAAGATGGATGGATAGATAGATGAAAGTTGGATGGATGGATGGATAGATAGATAGATAGATAGATAGATAGATAGATAGATAGATGAAAGATAGATGAAAGATGGATGGATGGATGGATGGATAAATAGATAGATAGATAATAGG